TATCACTATCAAAAGTATGACTAATATTAAAAAAAGAAAAAGAAATTTTTTTGTTTGTTCTTATTGTATTTATTCACATGTTATTTGTCTTGATTTTAATGTCTGATGAAGTATCTCATGAAGATACAAAATGTTACAAAATTTTTAAATTTAAATCAATTAGTAATATTGAATCAAATTAAAAATAAAATAAAAGAAGAGAATAAAATCATGTCAAATATATATATATATATATCATCATCAATAAACAAAATGTATTGCTTGTTTTCGTTACTATATGGCAGACTAGTTTTGTACACTTTCGATTGACTTTGTATAAAATTGGAACTAGTTTTCTAACATCTTGAAAAATTGTTGTTGATTTTATAATTTGTTCGAAAATAATATTTTTTTAGAAAATCGGATTGAAATTCTACTTTTGAAAAGTCGAGCATTTTCTCGAAATTATAAAATTGTTTGATGATTAATAATAATTGAAAAATGTTTGAGCTTTTACTAACTTGGTTTTCGAGAAAACAGAATTTATTTAAAACTTACAGTGTAATAATAAAAGAGGAGTGAGAAGGCAATTTTTTAAAGAGTATGGCATTGTTAAAAATTGCTTGATTATCTCATAGAACATCTCTTAAATAAGTTGAAAATCAAGTATAGTTACGTATCAAATGATACTACGATGTGTAAATTTCCTTCTATGTGTATTCGTAACTCGCTTTGCTATGTATTTATTGAAGACGAAATTACCTGTTTTTTTTGCAACTTGTATCTCTTTATGTGTATCAACGAAGCATGATATCTTTCTAAGGTAGACAGTTTATTTCGTAATAATACACTCATTATTGCACGTGTTCACCTCTTTCACCAGGTTTTTTCCCTATACCTTTTTTTTCGTTTGCATTTCGCGTCACTATAATAAGAAAATATACATCAATATTTCCGCATACTAATGTGTTTAAAATATGAGAAAAATTAGAAAAGAGCTGTTCATTGAAGGATTTCTTCAAGATAATGACTCGTTCTATCAACCAGACGAGAACTTTGTGTCACAAAAAATGATCGAAATCAAATTTAAACGATTCTTGAAGAAATCCTAGTATTATCTTGCTCTTACTTCTTTTCAAAAAAAAACACATGATCATGAGCTATGGACGATTTTTCCAATAGTTTTCTTGAAAAACCTATTCCTCTCAAAGCAACTCGACTTTTCTCATCACTTTCCCTCTTACATGGCCATGTGCGTATTATTTTGCTGGCAATCTTCATTTATCAAAAGACATCTTATCTGAAAGGAAAACTCTATAAACAATTCATCTAGCTAAGCTAATAGTAGCGCAAAGAAGTTCAGTATCTTTCTCGTCTTTTTTTTCTATGTAAAATGGGTATTTTTGTTTTGAATATAAATTATAAACTGGCTTCCCACTGAGGATTCGTGAAAAAAGAGAAGTAAAGAGGATTAATGCGAAAATAAAAAAGAGGATTTTGAATAAAACAGAGAAAAAGTAGGAGGCTCTTACTTCAGTCCTCAAAGTCATAAAAAAACACTCAAAGTGAAGGGTAAACTCCAACATCACAAAACTGATCCCTTACTAACCTCTATTTGGTAGTGGCTTTAAATATAACGGGTGTTGTAAAAGAAAAGCTCCTGGAAAAATGTCAGACTCTGTTGTGTGTAAACATAAGGTGACAGAAAGTTAATTCTTTTTTCGCCAGATAGAACTTGGTTTCTACTATCAAAGCACATGTCTCACAGACTTCTATTCATATACTAGTAGTAAAATTTATTCAGTTTTTATATATTTCCTAAAAAGCAAGTTGTAAACATTATTAACAGTAAACACATTGTATATGTAAACGAAGACATGTGCCTATGAGCTAAAATGATCTCTATTCTGTGTGATTACTCAAAGACTAGCTAGAGAAAAAAAATTCAACTTAAGCAAATCTTTCTTTATCGAGATTCACTTTCTTAAAATTATGTCGGTATAAATTGTGAAACTTTCTGTAACGGGAAGTTTTTCTGTTTCAGATATATAATTAACTTACGACAAAAGAGTTGAGTAAGATTTTTCTAATATTCTTGTAGTTCGCGAAAAGTTCGATCTGGCGCGGTCGATTTTGCTTTAATTGCTTGTGAAAATGGATATTTATTAAAGTGATAAGAGTTCGAGACAATTGATACTAAACTTTTTTTTGAAGAAGGCAATAGCAAAATTGTAGCAATTTACAGTACCTTTTCAGCAGTTTTAGAAAAACCGAATTGATTTATCGACTAATGTATGAATAGAAGTTTTCGAAATATGTCCTTTCAGAGTAGTAAGCACAGTCTATCTAACAAAAAAAGAATTAGCTTTCTCTCACCTACTGTTCACATGCAACAGTCTGACATTTTTTCACGAACTTTTGCAACACTCCTTATGTTACACTATATTGTAATTGAATTAGGGATGTCAAACAATCTATTAAAGTCATTATTATCTCTAATATCCGCATTGGATGTTGTAAAAGTCGATTGGAGTTCAATCGATTACTTTTCATCATCTTTAACTGCGTTTGCCTATCTTGTTGCAACTTAATTTCGTTTGAATTCTTTTTCTATCTAAGATAGTTGCATATAGTATTGTCATAGGTCTAGCGTTTTCACGATGTAAAAAAGAAAAACAAGAAAAAAAATCAGTGTTCACTATCATACATGAACCTATTATTGCTGGAAAAATTTATCGATGCTAAGTTTTTCTTTGTACTCTTTACTTTTTGAAAAAAAAGAGATAGAACTGGTAGCCAGCTGACAAACTTCACCACTGGATTTGATATACATACTTGACAAAAAAAAACATTTTTTTTTCTTTCAAGTATTATCATATACCGGATGATTCATAATGAATGGTCAGTTTTTGTATCTCGTTTTTTTATCATCTAGTACGTTTCTTTTATAAACAAAATATTCTACAAGATGCAGCGTGAAAAACTCTACAATCTATGAAGTAAAGCTTATTTTAATTGAATACATTTTGTTTTTGAAAAAAACAAAGGGTACACATAAAAAATAAAGTTTTTAATGTAACTTGTGAAGCTTTTCATGCTGCATCTTATGGTATATTTTGTTTTTAAAATAAACATACTAGATGATAAAAAAAAAGAAGATACAAAGATTGGCAATTTACTATGAATCACTCGTTATTTTGAAATCTTCGCAAACTTTGTTATTATCCGAGATGAAAATAGAAACTATACTAGTCATTAGTTGTAATTAAATGATTGATTTATTGAAATAAGAATTACATATATATCTGTTAGATGTTGTTATAGTCAATATATGATAATAATTATTGGTCATGTAATTTAAATGAATCTAATCTCTTTTTTAACCATGAAATTCTATCATTTCCAAAAAATGGTTCACCACGTACAATAAATGTTGGTACACCAAATATATTATCTTGATTAGCTTCATTTTGTGCATTTAAATAATCTTGTTGACTTTGATTATTAGTATAGGTTTGAAAATCTTGAGAAAATTTTTCAAATGATACATTTTTATTTGATGTTTCATAAAGAACTTTAAGAATTTCATCAATATTTTCAATATTTAATTCACGTTTAAAAAAAAGTTCAAATGTACGATAAGCATATGGACGAAAAAAAAATTATGTTTATCAGTATATAAGGGTGTGAGTATGGCGTGTGTGCGTGAATGGTATGTCTTCATCTACACCCACACCCCACACCCACACCCACATCCGCGACACGAGGTATAGAGCTCGGGGTGGTTTTAAATTAAAGCTAATGTCAGTATGCAGCTTTTCATCAACCAGAATTTTTAAATTCCCTATTGTTCATTTTTTATGAATATTTTAGTAGACATGTCTTAAAAGAAGCATAAAAGCCGGTGATCCGACGACAGTAAATTCCACTTTTCTCAGCCCAGGAATCGACTTAAAAAGAACTGGTTGATCAAAAGTTTACTCTTATTAAGACCTTTAAAACAAAAAAAACAATGGTTATAGCTCGAGAAATGAGGGACGAGTTCCAATTTTTCTGATTGGAAACTGTGTTCTGAGAAAAACGTTAAAGAAGTTTTAGAAGTGGATTTTTTCATTCAAATCCAGGACAAGTCATGTTACAATAGTATATTTCACTGAACCGTCTTAAAGGACGTCATAGATGACGGTAGCTACCGCCATCTGACATGCTGATTAGTATATAAAAATGTTCTATTCAATGATAATGACAGTGGGAACGTAATTTTTATGAAACTGACAACCTTGAAAAACCATGAAATTTCCTTCAAATATATGGTAGTAGATTTAAAGTTTCATGTGAGAAGTCTTTGAAAATCTGATTATTTTCCAAAAAACTAGATATATTCTGAGAGAGGAAGCTTCGCTGCATCTTCCTATAATAAAAACTCAACTTCGATATTTTCCCGAAAAACTCGATTTTCTGAAGGGAGGGATCTCCCTTAATATGATGAAGGTACTTTCTCCATCGTTGTTAACACACAGCTTCAAATTCCGAGAAATTCATTAATCTTATCCCGTTTATTGACAAAAGAATCATAAATTTGCCGAAATTTGTACATATACAGTAACTCCATGATATCCTGGGCAAGCCAAGGAACATTCCATATTCCATTTTTCTTTTAATTCTTTAATTCTTTTCAGCTCTTGTGCGAATCCTCGACATACATTGTTATATGCTCCTCTTCTACCTCTTTGTTGTAATTGAATTCGACATTTCGTCAAATTTTGAAATCGTTCAAATAATTTACACCATCGTTTCTGATCAAAATAATCCATTTGTGAAGTGTTAGTTTGACTATAGAGCTCTAGATGTTTTAAATTACCTTCAACACAACCAGAAAGTACATATTCTAAGTCTGTGAACGATAATTGAAAGTGAATAATTAGAGTCTTCAACGAAGAAGGATAAGTGAAAGACATATGATGAAATGTTTCACCAGCTTCAGTTAGTCGAAGTTCCAAATATTTTAATTGAGTTAATTCTTCACAATCGTAGATCGATGATATTGATGTAGCGATATTTTTCAATTGTAATATTTTGATATTTCTACTAAATACTGCCGTATCAACATGAAAAGTATATTCCACTTGTTTTCTGTTATCTACAATCAAAGTTTGTAATCGTTTTAATGTTGATAATGAGTGAAATAACGACGGTGGCATATCATCATTGGAATGTATTTTAAGGTATACAAGTGACAATGGAAGTTTAAGTTTGC